ATTTCAAATGCCTTGATACCGAAAGTGTAGTTTTGTCATATGTGTGTGTGTGTGTTTATGTGTGTGTAATAACTTTATGTCTGTAATAAATTTCAGACTTCAAGAATTCCCTGCATAGAAATCACCCATAAAATGATGAAAATTTCACAATGCAATTCATTTCTAACCTAAACAATCCATGTTTCACAGCATTTGCAACAAGAGGAAAGCTGCACGCTGGCAGCTAAGTCACATCACATAAAAATTCCCCCATTGTGAGTGTGGCGTGTGAAGTTCAAAAGGTGTTTTTTTTAAATCATGATTTTTCATGGAATATGGAGTGACTTTTTTTAATCACAATTTTTTCATGGAATACCGAGTGACGTCTTGTGGAACCCCAGTTGAGAAGGGTTGTTGTAGGCCAGGGGTGTCAAACTTGCAGCGTCACATGACATGTCGCAACGTATCGTGACTTTTTTCCCATTGCGGCAATGGGGTGGGCGCGGTTTCGCCATGACGCATCCGGCCCGCACAGTTGGATATTTTCCCAGGACCTGGACTCCAAACTTTTCTGTCTTTCTACCTTCATCTCCCAGTGTCTCTTCCCTTGGCCTCCTTTCCTTCCAAAATATAAACTGGGAGGAGGCACCCTGCATTCCCATGCTTTGAGTGACAGCTCTAACACCCAATCATCACACAAGCATTATCAATGGTCATGATTTTCTGGGAAGAGGTACCCTGTATTCCCATGATTTGAGTGACAGCTCTAACACCATCATACAAACATTATCAATGGTAATGACTTCCTAGGTAGAATATCACACATTACTACCATTATTCAGGGCCATTTATCTTTTTTTTTCTTTCTCACAGCAGTTCTGTAAGGTCAGATGAGAAGTGATGAGTGGCTTTGGGTGTTGATAATAAATGTGGGGTTCCTGAGTTTAGCATAACATTCTAGGCACAGAAAATCAAATGAATGACACGTAGGGACTTCCAATTCCTTTCCAAGCTTCCACAGAATTGGCAGAGATTTTGTTCTCTCAATTAGTCCCTTTCTACCACAGCTGATGCATCATGCTGGCTCCTTAATTGAATTTCATTCTGCTTTGTGCTAGTTCCAATGTCTCGCATAACAGAAAGGGCTTGGAAAGCAGGGGACATTTTATTTGAATATATCTTATTATATATTTATTGCATGAAACTGTTAAAAAAGGTAACTCTGCAAAAAGTTTGAAATTTGTAACATTGTTTTGTTTTAATCCTTGCTTTATGATTTAACCTCAGATTAACCCATTAGAACAGCTATGGAAATTAAAACATAATTTCTGCATTTTGGTATCCATTCCAACTTTTTCTCTGGTTGAAATATATCTCCATTATTTTCACTGTTGTGATTGGTACATTCTGAACAGAAAGCCAATTTCATTTTCTATAGCTGCCTTTTTTATAAGCTGGATGCAGAAAACTGCAGCCTAGTATTAGGGCAGAGCCCCTCAAATATTGGAAGACTGCTATCATGTCACCCCTAAACCTTCTCTTCATTAGGCAGATATACCTAGTTCCCTGAACCGTTCATCATAAAGTTTAGTCTCCACACCTCTTATCATCTATGTTCCCTGCATTCTTTCTGTGTACATAAATAATAGCCTTCTGCTTCTTTTGGTTCAGACCATATAGGACTATTTTCTGCACATCAGCAGAGTCTACACTTATCTAATCAAAGTGACTGATTGAATCTCAGCAATGTCTTAACATGGCAGATATTTCTTCTCCGCAAACTGGTGCACCTCTGCAAGATAGATGAAGTGCATCCACCAAGCCCTAAGGCATACATAAAGATAAATAATAAACTTATTCCGAGCTTTACTGGAATGGATAGGCCTAGATATTTTTGTAATAAATAACTAAATAGTGCTTTGATGATGATTTGCTGGTTATATCTCTAGACATCCATATTAAATTAATCCCAGATGTATTTTAAAACTAAACATGGACTAAAACATATGAAGAATGGCTGCAGGACTTGGGTTTGTCTAGTATAAAGAAAAGAAAAAATAGAGGTGACATGATAGCAGTATTCCAGTATTTGAGGGGCTGCCACAAGGAAGAGGGAGTCAAATTATTCTCCAAAGCACCAGAGGGCAGGACAAGAAACAATGGTTGGAAACTGACCAAAGAGAGAAGCAACCTGGAATTAAGGAGAAACTTCCTGACAGTGAGGACAATTAACCAGTGGAACAGCTTGCCTTCAGAAATCGTGGATGCTCCATCACTGGAGGTTTTTAAGAAGAGACTAGATAGTCACTTGTCTGAAATGGTATAGGTTCTCCTGCTTGAGCAGGGGGCTGGACTGGAAGACCTCCAAGGTTCTGTTCTATTCTGTTCTATTCTATTCTATTCTATTCTATTCTATTCTATTCTATTCTATTCTATTCTATTCTATTGTAAAGATAGAAAAGTCTAAAGATCTGATTTATGTTGTTGATTCTAGGGATTTTGTAAAACCTGAGGACAGGACTGTAGGTTTGCAGTAGTGGCGAATATTTGTAGCTTTGATGCAGGATGAGGGTGAAGGTTCATTTGCCAAGCTTGTGGGTTGGTTTCTGAATGTTTCATTACACTTCATTGACATCTTTCTCTGTAATGGCTATCCAAAAAACTTTGTATTCCAACACACAGCACCCAAACCACAGTATACCACACAGCCAACCACCATGCAAAAACTAACCCTACCATACACAAAAGGGGTGTTGGAAATGACAGCCAGAATTCTCCAACTCCTAAGAATAAGAATAGCCCACAAACCCACAGCCAAACCCCACCAGGAATTATCCAGAACCAAAGACAAGATATAGAATGATGAAAGAAACAATGTGATCTACAAAATCTACTATAAGCATTAGAATCAATTCTATGTAGGACAAACATGTCAATTAAAAACCAGGATCCATGAACACCGGCTGGCAGTCAAATGCCAGTATTCTAAATTCTTAATGTTTACCCACACCAACACCAAACAGCACCAGTTCGATTGGAGCAACACAAAAATCATCAGCCACACTACCACCCTCCACGCTTCTAAGTTTGTCAAAGCCTGGCTCACCTCAAGCAATTCCATCAACAGACACATTGAACTACAACCAGGCTACAAACCCCTCAGAATCCAAATCAACCACACAGCCAACCAGAGACAGCACTGACCCTCAACCAATCCACGCAACCCCCCCCCCATCAGCAGTTCACCTCCCAATCATCCTGACCTGACGTATCCTCATCACAAGACCCATCACAAGATTCTCACTGATAATTCACACTTGACCCATCACAAGACCCGTCATAAGACCCTCACTTGACACCTGCACATCTGAAGCCCTTATAAACACAAGAACACTGACACTGACTTCCATTGAAACTCCATTGAAGATGTTATTTAGCCTGGTAAAGAAATGTTTGGAAACCAACCCACAAACTTGGAGAACAAACCTTCACCCTCACAGGATTGTAGGCCCATAAATGCATTCTGATTTATGGAGCGCTAAACTGCACACCAAATATTATTTTATTTTTGTTTTGGGTCCTATCTCCTCCTTATTTGAAAAGGAACAATATAAATCTTATATAGCACTTATCTATATCAAGGGTATGCAGTCTTCAAGTTGAGGACTTCACTTTACCACTGAGTAGCCACTGGTTGTATCCACTTAATCATTTCTCTACTGTTGATGGTTTTGTAGATAGCAAAAATGTTATTCAATTATTAATGTATATAGTCTCTTAAGAAATAGTTTCCAGATGAAAAAGAAAGATTAGGTATGGTCTCCTAGTGGACCACTAATTTCTCCTAGTTCATGTAATAAATTGATCTATTAAATATTACAATATTATAATCTAATAGTGTAATGTAGAATGTAATATAGTACATTACAATAAATATTATTTGTCATCCAGAATCGCTCAATGGGGAAATGAGCAGCATATAAATTTAGTAAATAAATAAATAAGTACCCTCTAAGCCAGAGGGCCCCAACCTTTCTGGGTTAGTGGCACGGGGGAGGGGGGAGGCGCCAACGGGACCACATGCACATGAATGGGGTCTTGATTGCACGTGCGATGCAAACAGGGCCATGAGTGCCTGCATGATGCTCGGGTGATGTTAACACCTGCGCAATGTTGCAATGCTAGAACAAGTGGGGATGTTGCGCTTGCAGAGATGCTAGCGCCGGCATGACAGTGTGACGCTAGCATGAATGGGGGTGCACTCGTGGCAACGCTAGCGCCTACCCGATGCTCATGGCATTGCTAGTGCCCATGCAGTGCCACAACACTAGCACAAGGGGGGGTGAGTGCTCACACATGTATGCACTGGCCAGCCACTCACGTGGCCCAATGGCCAACAGCCCATGACCCGGTAGTGGGCTGTGGACCACAGGTTGGTGACCCCTGCTCTAAGCAGAAGAATAGCATATTATTCTTTTTATGTTTTTAGTCAGTAGGAATTGCAAACAAGTATCAATTAACAATTAATTTTAATTTTCAATAAGTGCTAGAAATGCTGGGCCCCAAACGTAGGAATTTATGAATAGGCCATATAAATGGATACATGTAAATTATGATTCTCCAGCATTTTTCCCTATTAATTATTACCTATTTTTTATTAAATTGAAGGCTTTAGGATAGCTTTGTTTACATGCAACATTTATGTTCTAAATGCAATACTATTCTTCCTAAAGTAGAGTTTTAATTTTAAGCCTCTTCACATACATAAAACCATCCTCTGTGAAACATATGAATTATCCTGTACTAAAGAGGTATGCTCAGGGCTGGTAAACCAAGGAATTTTCTCCTTTACAGTTAACCATCATATAGAAGAATAACCTCAATTATAAAAGTTGATGTTGATGTTCAGTTTATAAAGAGGAGATCAAAGGTCATTTGCCCATTAGAGTGTCAGTGACTACAGCATAGCTTGCTATTGAGCTTTCTGTGTTAATCACTGTTGATTTTTGTTTTTGACCTAGATATTTATATTTGAAAACAACATCTACTACTGTGCCCATATGGGAAAACAAGCGATCCGTGTAGTTTCCACTGGAAAAGACAAAGTTATTTTTAACGGACTCAGTGATTGGCTATATGAAGGTAAGATGAGTATTGAAAAGTTGGCTAATTGCTTAATATTTCTTATATTAATACTTCTTTCACATTACTAGAAATTACATTAAATAATTATATGATAGGAAGGGCTTCTGGTCCAACTTCCTATGATGATAGCTTTGATTCAAATTCTGTAAAAATGTTTATTGGAATAAAGTCTACACCCCTCTCTTTTATTACCTTGCAGTTTATACCATTGTGACTAACTTTTAGTCAAAATCATTTTGTACTTTGAAATATGGAATGACAGTTATTCATAACACCCCTAAATCATGTTGTATGAATGAGATACGTTAAATTCTTCAAATTTTTGTCATAGTTTTCTCTCCAAGCTTTTTCTTGCTTTCCTTCTTTTTCCTTTCTTTCTTTCCTTCCCTCCCTAAAAGCACATGTTCAAGAACAAGCATTGTATAGATAGTCCTTGCTTACCAAGTACTTGTTCATCAGCTATTAGAAGTTATGACAGTGCTAAGAACAGATCCTAAAAGTTGTGGTTGTTTCTGCATCCTCATGGTCATAGGTTTATGATTCGTGTACTTGCAACCAGCACATGCTTTTGATGGTCCCAGTGTCATGTGATTTCTATTTACAATATTCACAGCCAGATTCGAACAAGCAAAGTCAACAAGGAAGCTGGCAAGAACTTAAAAGTCCACTTAACTTGTGGTAATTTGCTTCATGACCACAGTGGAACTGATGTTGTAAGTCAGTGCAGGCATGTGACATTTCACTTTATGGCCCTTTTATTTAGCAATGGGATTGTCAATCCCAATTATGGGTGGTAAATAAGGACTACTTGTAGAGACAAGACAATCTCCTGACTACCCCAAGAATGTCAACCTACTGTTGATTTTTCCCCAAGAATGACAAAACAAATGGTGTATCCATTTTTTGTGGTGATCTGTATTGAAAACCAGTGATCTGAAACATTTCTTTCTTATAAGCATTTCTTTTCATTGGATCCTATCCTGCTTCATTGGGACTTGCAGTTTACTTCTAAAAAGTCTAGATATTCTTCAGTGTTACTTTGGACGAGCTATATGGACCACAACTTCTAGGGATTATAGAATCACAGAGTTGAAAGGGGCCTAAAAGATCATGAATTCCAAGCCCTACACAGGTGACTATCCAGCCTTTCTTGAAAAACGTCTAGTGACAGGGAAGAAACCACTCCATATAATAATATATGCCGCTAACTGCCCTCTCTTATTGTCAAGAAATTCTTCCTAACGTCTAATTTGTTGAATTCAGCTCTATCTGAAAAGCAACAAACCAGGAAAGGCTGAAGTAGAATTCCCCAAGGCTTACTATTATGAGTTCAGTTGAATTCACAATCAAACACAAAAGCATACAATCTAGGACAACTGTTGTTTACATGATGTATGATAAAGTGATCCTGACTATGAACTATACAATAAATACTTGGTCCAAAGGAAATAGATCAAGGTTTTTCAAACATGTTCTGCAGAATTCCTAGAAATTGATGGGATTGCGTGAGAGACTAGGGGCAAAAAAGTGGGAGAACTCAAATGGAATCAATTTTCTATCCTTTGAGCTATCCCTCTTAATCAGGATTTCTATCATTTTCTGTTTCTGTTAACAGGTTTTGATACCTGAATACTGAAATAAGTCATAGATAAAACCTGCTCTATCTTCTGTCCCTACTTTAGAATGGAAACACCACATTGATTCACTCTTTCCATGAAGACCTGGAAAAAGATAGTGATTCTCTCAGGGCTGGCCCTAGATATTTTGCTGCCTAAATTCAGGAGATGATAGCCCCAACAACAGAATTTAAAATTCATAGTCTCCTACAACAGTCAGATTACTGTGATGATTTGGCCAAAGGAGCACTAAAATACTTTTCTGCTTCCTACCATTATATTAGATGATGGAAATGATGATGATGGTGGTGAATCTATTAGAAGAGAATATTTATAGCTTAGATTTGAACTGTGGGATCCCTGGTGCTCTCTGTTAAAATTTTCATAAAACATGAAAAGACTTAACCATAATTTCAACTGGGAAACTATGACCATCCTAGACCAAGCCAAGTCCAAAAATACTACAGAATTCCTGGAAACCTGGCACCCTGACAAATCAGCCTATCATCAGGAATACAGACATAAACAATATCTACCTACTATTCAAAAGAGTCAATCAAAAACCAAAAAGGGGACAAAAGGATCTAAACATCTCCTCACCAGCAATCATCATCCAGATGAGCAGAGATTAGACAAGATTAATATTAGACCAGTAATCAAAAAGCAAACAGTATCCCAATCAAGGAACTGGCAACAAGTTAACAATAAACAGCCTAAGCAAAGAACCACCGAGACCATTCCCACCAACACTGATAGGGCAAACCACTAGGATATGAATTGAGAACAAACCCCACCTGCTTCTAGCACCAATGATATTACCTAGTTTGGTAATGAAATGTCTGTAAGAAAACAACCAAGCTCAGAAAGCACCAAGTACACTACAAATGACGAATGTGAATCAATTACTGCTTCCCTTTAGAATTCTCTCTCTATCACTACCTTGTTTATTTATTTATTTATTTATTTATTTATTTATTTATTTATTTATTTATTTATTTATTTATTTATTTATTAGATTTGTATGGCTGTGCACCTTAGAACACAACTCAGGGTGGCTCACAATAATCGATTTGCTATAGGTTTTATAGTTTGCAATTCTCAGTTCAACCATGCTAGCAACAATAGATGTTACTCACAGCTTTTCTATCTATTGATTATAGATTTTTATTTTGCCCTAGCACGAGATGTGTCTGTTACATCATAACAGAGAGATGGGTGCCAGGTGTGATCAATCAGACCCAGACATGCAGAGTTCACGCTAACTACTTTATTAAGTTCTGCTTATCGTACAGGAATCTCATCAGTTTGGTAGACTTCTCTTGAGAACAATTAGATATGACTTGAAGGAGTGTGCGTGTGTGTGTGTGTGTGTTTTCTGTCTGGTTTATCCAGATGGGCTAACACTTTATCAGTCTATTACGATTAGTTTTAATCTTCTGTGGGCTTCAGGCTTTTACATCAGGATATCTAAACATCTTGAAAAAGGTTGGTGCCCCAATCTGAAGGTTATGATATTGAAAGTTAGATAATATGTCCATTTCCATTTCAGTTGTGATCAGTTTTAATTAAGACATGCCCTCGCTCACGACTTTAGGCTAGCTGTTGTTTTCTTCTTTTTGGAGTGCCAGGATGCATTTGCACACAGTTGTTAAACGATGATGATGCTGTCAGTAGAGGAGCCCTTGCAGGAAGGCCATTCTGGATCAAATATGGCAGATGATCCTTTCATATCTGCTTATAGAGTTATAATGCAATGCCAAGTTATATTTCCAGTTACATGGCCTCTCCTTTCGTCCATCAATCAACTGTTGCTTTGCATAGCCAGATCACGAAGCTTCGTTCAGCATTCTTGGAAGATGAGGTGAGGGGGCAATATGAATAAATGGAATAATGTGTCAAGCTTGGCATGTTATCAAAACACCCAGGCCCTGCTTTCAGCCTCCTTCTTTCCTGCTGTCTTCACAGCTCAAGAGGAGAGACAGTATTTCAGAATTTGAAGACATTTCCCTTGGGTGGTAAGGTACAAGCTAATTGTCCCCATAAAACAGTGTAATAAGAAAGTGAATAGGCAGCTTCATTGCTGAGACAGATAAATAGCCTTCTTTGTCTGGACTCACTAGCTTTTGAGGCTGGAAAGCCTCAAAACAAGATATAAATGATTTAGACATATACCTGCATACCCTTACTTTGCTTATAATATCATGGTATTCATTCCTTTTGTCTGACCTTCGATAGCTTGCTCACCCTGGTTGGCGGAGTTCTCAGAGAGAGAGAAGATAATCCAATAAAACTGAAAGCACATAAGATAGTCCTCAACTTACAATCATTCATTTAGCAACTTTCAAAGTTACAACAGCATTGAAAACAGTGACTAACAACTGTTTCAGCATCCCCAAAGTCATGGGATTAAAATTGAGGCACTTGGCAATGGAGCATGTATTAACAATTGTTGCAATATCTCAGGGTCATTTAAAGATCACTTGTGACCTTCCCAGCCAACTTCTTAATGATCATGTGATTCGTATTCTCCATAATGCAGCTGTTAAACGAGCACATGGTTCATTAAACAGAGAAAGGGATATATATATACTGCTCACAAAAATAAAGCGAACATTTTACCATGGAACTGAAGGGGTTTGCGTTCCCTTTATTTTTGTGAGCAGTATATATAAACACCTGATCAATTTTGGATTTTTTTTCTTCTCTACATGTTCAGAGTAAAGTGTGATTGACTGGTGGTGTGCACCTTCATGGCACCTGGCATTCCCTTAACTGCCCCACCTCTTGAGTTATGGGAAATATTTTCCTTCCTGTTTCCTTATTCTGTTGTTTTATTCCTCCCTTTTGTCTTCTGAAGAAAAAAAGGCCCAGGAATAAGCTGTGCTCCTTCTGGGTTTTGAGCCTATCTTCTGGAGTGTTGGCCATCCCCTCCAGCTTAGTGTCATCTGCAAATTTCATGAGTCCCCTTCTATCCCCTAAATCATTTATGAAGATTTTGAGTGTTGGGCCTAAGACAGACCTTATCTTTTTTCCAGGTTGATCTGTCTCTAACCTGGTCCCTCAGATTTTTCAACAATGCCCCCATCACTGCTCTAACTTAGTCCGTGCACCAGGAAAAGTTGTTCTTTTCTTGTTCTTTCAACCTTCCCCAACATGATAGATTTCTCAGAGCTGGGTCTTATTTGTCCAAAGTATGATCATCTCTGCCTTGAATGACAGTTCTGGATTGATTTGTTCTGTGATCCGTTTGTTTGTTTGCAGGGTTCATCTCCAATACCAGAATACAGAGTATTCTATCCTGCTTCTTCAAAGTCTTAATTTTCATTTCCATAGAGTGCCGGGATAAGATTTCTGCTTCAACACACATCGAATACTGAATTC